AAAAATAAAACTCAAAATTAATGATAATCTCTGCGCGAAAAAATAAAAATCATAAAATAATCATTATTTGTAATGCCAAAAATAAAAATCAAATAATAATTATTTCCGTTTGAGCGAAAAAATAAAACTCAATAATAATTCATAAAATAATGATTACATGCTGATTTAAATTATTTTACTCATAATGATTACCTTTCCTGCTTTTAAAATTTGAAATAAAATAGTTTAGTGAAAGTACCACATTTCACTACTTTTGGACTGGTTCGGGACTAGTTACTATCGGCCTGGTTCGTTTTTGGCGAAAAAGAACTAGTACTGAACCAGAAATATGGTTCACTAGTTCGTGTTTTCCCTACAGGGTTACGTATGTACATACACACACGCACTAGGCACATTTTTACGCGCACACAATTCACACAAGAATGGTTAGCGCTCTTCGATTCTCTGTAGTCTTTCTGGCATCGTATAGCTTCTATATTTGTTTCCAAGCCTTGGAGTTTTGCACTATTTGCTGTGGCTTCAATTTCATTTGGAAATCTTACTCGTTCCATTTGCCAGCGCAACGGCGGCCACAGAATGCAATTTTTATTTGAACGCCCTACCCACTACCTGAAATAGAATAATAATATAAATAATGTAAAAGAAACACAAAATAAATTTACCGTCTTCTCGATTCAATAAATTGCCACCAGATTGTTTTATTTTAGACTTTCAACTAAATTTTATGCTATATTTACTTTTTTTCGTCGAAATTGTATGCGATTTGACAGATCGCCAACAACAACTTTTATATTATGACGTAGATGCGCAGAACGAAAAATTTTTGCACCCCTATCGGCGCATTCTTTGTATTCTATCATTCTTGCAATTCACACGTTTTCACTATTACTTAATTACCTTTTAAATAAGGAAGAACCGCTTCCATATTAATTTCTTTTACAAATTTTCCGAGCTTGTCCTCCGACGTATCTATATCACTTATGTCACTCATTCGATTTTTTTTCTTTTAAACGACCGCACGCACGTACAATTCTAAAATAACTGAAAACAATTCGCGATTGAAAGCGCCGCAAAATATTCCGAAAGCAGCAATGCAAATAGAGTTATTTGCATTGCTGCTTTGGTAAATTTTTTTGACCGAAAGTTGGCCTTTTGGACTTTTTTAAATTGTTATATTTCTGTGTTGGTAGTGTAGTCAATCTCACATTAAACTAAAACTTAGGGTCATTTTAAAAGCATATTATTAGTGCATTCGCCTAGAATTTCGACCATTTGGCTATTGAAAAACCTGAAATGTGATAGAATTCTTCATGCTGATTACAACCACGGTTGCCACACGACAAAAAATTTTCTGACCAGAATTTACAAAAAAAGTTACCTAAAAGTTGCCAAGTAAAAAAACAGCGTTTTATTACATAATAAACTGTTAAAACAAACCTCGTTTATTTGTCATAAGTAAAACATGGGTACAATAAATAGTTTTATTAAAAGGAAACTATACAAATTCATTTTACATATGAGGCCATGAGGGCCAGAGAAGCCTATTTACCAACAAATTTTTAGTAATATGAGAAATAAGGATCTATAAAAAATCTCTTTTACTAAACAATTCATTGCACCTACGTGATGCTATATATTATAGTAAAAGAAAATCAAAAGGGCGTGCCTCGGGCTATTACTATTTCGATTCTGGTAATGCATTTTAAGGTGCACCTCAACTTTTTTTTAAATGTCATTTAAGATACTCTGGCGCTCGAGGCCTCATATAAAACTAGATATATTCACATACGTATATATGTAAATACATTTTTATTCAATCTCTGTATACTTACGTGTATAAAGAAGAATATGAAAAAAAATTGTGAACAAAAACAACACATAAATATTCTTGCAACGCACGCGTTAAAAAATATACTTTTCATAAAAACGCGCTTTAAGCTATTGTCTTTTGAACGGAATCTTAGCCTCAGAATAAAAAAATTATTTAAAAAATCGACTTAAGTGCATATACCGAAGCGCTAAACTGTTGTTCAAACCTCATTTTTTTCATTTCCTCTATATATGGATCAAAGATCTGTCAATAGGTTTGTATAGTAACTTCTCCAGTAAAAGATTGCAGCGAGACGTAAAAGCAAAATAGATCGTAAAATTGAGAGAAGAGAAAACTACAAGAAAAAGTTATTGAACACAAAACTAGTAAAAACTTGCAAGTGAACAGTTGTTGCACTGTTTTGACATTCTGCTGTAAACATTTTACTATTTATAAATCAGTTTTAAACTCTTTGCTTTACACACAAGCACTTATACAGTCCAGTGCATCATTAATATTTTGATTTCCACTAATTTTACTTTTGTTTACGCTTAACCAATTCAACAAATGGCAGGTTTTGACATTCATTCTTCTTCTTCTTCTGATAGCTAAATTCTGCTAGTAAAAATTTCAGTAGGAAAAATTTGCAGCTCTCCCGTGTTATTACGCTCTCGATTCAGGGCTCTCTTGCAATTTTTTTGGGTTATTATACACTTTTCCAGTAAAAATTTGCAGCTTCCAGTACAAATTAGTACTGACTATTTGTTACTATACAAACCTAATAACACTGGTCTACAAGGGTTTTGCGAATAAGACGGGACCTGGTGTTTCCGAACGGATTTTTCGTGCTGAACACGAATCTGGGGTCCAAAACTTCCCATCACGTCACGTTTTCGAGAAAAAAGGGGTTGAAACCCCTAAAAACAGCGTTTTTGGACATTTTCGAAAAATTGTAGAGCTGAACCCTGACGTGCTACAAACTTTGTATATGTCAGAAATTAAAGGCTAAATCGTGCCCTTTCGAATGAGCCCTATGCCGAATTAATCGCATGCACCCTTAGATCAGGGGGTGTATTTGTGTCTAGGAGTCCAGGGAAAATTGATCGCAGAAAGAATTTCATCTTAAACGACCATATAAATTTCTTAAATTTTTAAAATCTAACTGCAGATTCGTAATCAGCGACTTTTAATATAGTTAAAACCTTGGCATTATTAATTTTCTATGATCGTTTAAGATTAAATTCTTTCTGTGATCAATTTTTCCTGCACCCCTAAACACAAATACACCCCCTGCTTTAAGGGTGCACGCGATCAATTCGGCATAGGGCTCATTCGAAAGGGCACGGTTTAGCCTTTAATTTCTGATATATGCAAAATTTGTACCACGTCAGGGTTCAGCTCTATAATTTTTCGAAAATGGCCAAAAACGCTGTTTTTAGGGGTTTCAACCCCTTTTTTCTCGAAAACGTGACGTGATGGGACATTTTTGACCCCGGATTCGTGTTCAGCACGAAAAATCCGTTCAGAAACACCAGGTCCCGTCTTATTCGCAGAAAAAAAGTTGAAATTTGTAGACCAGTGTAATTATTGAACGTGTGGCATATTTCGTGATATCAATTGCATGCATTTCGAACAAAGTAGATGTGCTATCACATTAAGATAAGATTTCCAGGCTTCATCTATTGGAATTTAAACTTCTCGACACAAAAACATGTAAATTCTGACGCGATAAATATTGACCATGTCGCATTCCCGCGAGATCCATCACTATTTTGAAATCCATCAATATGGATCACAATCCAAATATCACAATAAATATTAAACGCGTGACAGGCGCCCCACACTGTGATAAATTAACGAGTAGACTGCCCAGCGATAATTTTCTTCGATATGTGGTTAGCTATTTAATTGTTTCTAGTAGTGTTGTCACCGCTACACACAACCACAGTGAATCCATGTTTTTTAGTCGGACTTTATACACGGTAAACTTACCAAAAGTTACCAAAATAAAAAAAAGTTGCCAAGTTACCAAGCACTCAAAAAGTTACCTATTTTGGTCACAAGTGACTAAATGTGGCAACCGTGATTATAATCATACCAAAATTATTTAGCGGAAGTAAAAAGAAGATCTAAGAGGCTAAAGTAAAATTTTGGGATATTTTAATATTAATATCTTATAAAATTTTAATTAAAAAACAAATGATGTCAAAATAAAGATAATTAATTTTTTCCAATTGGTCTACATAATGTATGTATGTTAGGGCGGGTCAATTTTTTTTCGACATCGTTCCTAGCAGATTCGGATTCTACATAAAATTCTAAGAAAAAAGCCCTTTAGACCATAGCTCTAAAATCAATTTCGAGCCTGCGCAATTTTAAAAGAAATTATTTTTAATTAATACTAAGTCCATAATTAGATTAATATTTACTAAAGTGTTAGGAATGGTTTTTTTTTGTAATAAAGAATTGTGCTCGGGAGTTTTGTGATATGAAAAATTTATTTCAGATATCTAGTTTTTATTTAAAGAACCGCAAGATGGCGCTTCAAAGCAAATCTACTATATATTTGTGGAAGTATGTATGTATGTATGTACCAGGTTGCAGCCTGAACGGATGTACAGAATCGAATAAAATTTTGCCAAAGTATTGCCATGACTCCTGGACCTATAACAGGGTAAAAAAATTGAAACTCGCCAAGGGGGGGAGGGGGATGAGGGATACCTCCCATAGTGAAAATTTTTAATCAGCTCTTACTTCGGAATTATAGTCACATGAACTCGAAATTTGAAATGCACAGATACCATGGTAGGTGCTTATGAAAAGATATATGTATATAAATAAGTTTGTAAAAAGGGGCGTGGCACATCTTATAGGTGTGGAATCTTTTATCAGCTATAACAGCAGGCAGTATTAGTGATCTCATTGTATTGGATTTTGAAGATTTGTTATGATTGATCAAAGTTAAATTCAAATAAATTATAGATGATATGAAGTTCACCGGGTCATCTTCTAGTCTTTAATATATACTCAGTTAATATACGGATTAATATTTACTAAAGTGTTACGAACGTTATTTTTTTAATACAATTAGAAAACAAGTAAGAAAGTCTAAGTTCGGGCAGAGCCGAACATTAAATACCCGGCGCAAGTATAAAATACATGTTTTTCCCCTTTCCGAAAGCTACCCCTACATGGAAAGCCGGGGTGTATCAATTTTGAGTAAATTACCGTCTTTAAATTTCGAAATATTGCAGTTTCAAGCATTTCTGAAATTTACCGTTATATGAAAAGCGGCCGTAATTTTAGTCCGATTTCAATAATTTTCAACGTTTTATGTGGCAAGAACAATAAAAATACTGAGTTTGGTACAAATTGATAGAACGGTTACCGATATACATATATGTGGTCATAAGTGGGCGGTGCCACGCCCATTTTTCAAAATTTAACCATAAACATATTTCTTGGTAAAGAATTGTTGCGAGCATCAATTTTGAATAAGTTAGCTTTAATATTTACTGATTTATCTAAGATTTCGTATTTCTCTAAATTACCCTTATATGGAATGTGGGCGTGGTTATTATCGGATTTTAAAAATTTTCAGCCATTTGGTATGCTGTACCAAGGCGAACAACTGTGCGAAGTTTGAAAGAAATCGGTGCAGCGGTTGCCAAGATATACACATATAACTATAAGTGGGCGTGGCTACGCCCATTTTTCAAAAATTTATAATATTCTTATTTTTCGTCTAAAAGTTATTGTAAATATCAATTTAGAGTGATTAATCTTCAGTAGTTACTAAAATATCGCAGTTTTCGTGTTTCTGAAAATTACCGTTATATGGGAGGTAGGCGTGGTTATTGTCCGATTATGCCCATTTTCAATACCATCCGTCCTACGCCTGAAAGAAGTACACGTACCAAGTTTCGTTAAGATATCTTAATTTTTACTCGAGTTATCGTGTGCACAGACGGACGGACGGACGGACGGACGGACGGACAGACAGTCACCGCTTAATCGATTTCTCTTTTCATCCTGATCATTTATGTATGCATTTGTCTATATCTATCTCGATTCGTTTTGCCTGTTACAAACAACCGTTATGTCAACAAAGTTATAATACCCTTGTGCACAAGTGCGCTCGGGTATAAAAATAACTATAATTTAAAGGAATGACACACAATGGCTAGAGTCGTCGCATGTGAGTATTCTTTCATATACATATATATGGGCCGTTCTTACGGTTTATATATTTTTCATCCACTCGCTTATTCCTTCCCGAAAATTTTAAATAAAAATTTAACAAGTTTTAACCGCTGATACAGTACAGGTAGCAGTTTAAAATGGGGAACTGGGTAAACTTAATAAAGAAAACATATTCTCTGGCTAAATTAATAAGCCTGCCCGGATAACATAAAATCCCAAGCTTGATAAACATTTGGTGTTATAAAAGTTTTATAAAGCTCTACTTGTAATTAGGAAAAATGCCGAAAAAAATTATAAATTGATTCATTGATTGATTGATTGATAAAAATAGAGAGTGAGTTATGGCCATGACAATAGAAACTAGAAAAAAGATACCTCGTCTTGAAAGCAAAAAGGATCTAAAACCAAAAAAAAATATAAATACATTGTTAATCATAAAAAAATTTATGATTCGAAAAATAATTTTAAAATATTGTAAATTTTTTTTTGGCTTTTTAAAGTTAAGGGTAAATAAACCCTTAAACTTACAGTAACGAACAAAAGTATTGGCACAGTAAGTTTTACGCAATATAGGCAAAGTATTTCTTAGAAAAATTCCAAGTATGCAGTTTAATAATCCATTCAATTTTAGTTTATCAAAGTGCAGGTTTGAAGTTGCTTGAAAATCTGAATATAAAATTGCAAATTAGTATGCAGATTTATTGAATTTTCCTGAGTTTTTCACAAAGTTTACACATTTGATTTGTATGTGTTTTAGTGTAGTATGAACTATGTTTTTATAAAAAATTATCGGAAATAAATTAAAAATTTTGCATATATGTAATGCGAAAATTTAC